CCTCCCTTCCACTGGGTGTACGCCTCCCTTTTAGCTAGGATACGTACCCAGATGCTTTTGGTGAACCATGGGGGCTTTTGTGCCATCCTGCCCCCATTAAAGAACACCAATCTGACAGTAGCACTAGAAAGGCAAAATACTTTAAGCTCCTTGGACATTCCATTGCTGACCTCAGAGTGGGTCTTCTTAGATAGCAAAACTTAAGAAATGAACTCGAACAAAAAACTGAGGAACAAGAACTCATCCACAGATTGGATTGCGTTAAATATGCTCTAAACTGAGCCTATGGATTCTTATCCCATTACCTGGATTAGCCATTATAAAATCATATGTCTGTAAAGGTGCAGACAGAAGTGACAATTTTCACGTGATCTGGCCCCTGAAAGTGCTCTACAGCAGCAGTTCCTAAACTCTTGTACGCATGCCATCAGTGGTACGCAGACAACCTGTGAGAAGTTTGAGGCGAGTGGCGCACATAGACACAGACAGCCAGCTGCAGCTGGCCAGGAATGCAGACTGGCTGCATGTGGAGTAGTGCCCAGCAGGTAAGTAAGTGTGTTGGGAGGAAGGGGTGTGGGGGAGGGGAGAAAAGGGGTGGGGAGCAGACTAAGGCCTCATGGTGAGGGATGGCAGGGGCAGAGATGAGTGGGGACCCAGGCCAGGCTGTGGGATGGTTTGAGCCCCGAGTGGCTCATCCAGGGGTGCTGGGGGGCTCCTGCCACTGCACACACCCTAGGAGAGGTAGGGGGGAGGTAGGCTGCCCACTGGGCTGTGTGTCCCACTGCTGTTGTTTCAGGAGCTGTGTGCAACACTAGTTGTACCTCCTGTTGCCAGGCAGGCAGAGGACACAGTGCAGCCAGTACGTGGGAGGCACATGGTGTTGCACGCAGCTCCTGAGGCAATGGCAGCAGCCCACCTCCACCCTGTGCAGAAATCCAGGGGGGCACATGCCCTCATGCCTCCCCCAGGGGTATGCGCAATGGTGGGGAGCCACACACCCCCAGCACCCCTGGACGAGCCTGCAACTCAGCCCTGTTCCTGGTGCTGTCTTCAGAATGGGAAGAGGGAAGAGGAAGTCCAGTGTGGGTTTTTTCAGCTAGTGCTGGAGGGTGGAGTGGGTGGATCGGACCCCCTCCTCCCAAGGTGCAGGGGCTCCAACCCAACCACTCCACCCCTCCAGCACTGTCTGGGCAATCCCCAGAACAAGCTCCCTTTCCCCTCTCCTATTCTGAAAACAGTGCCTGGGCTAAGAAGGGGGAAGGGTGTTGCTAGGGGAGAACAAAGCTGCTTTAAACAGCAGTTTGATCTCCCAATACAGAACATCTGTTGGGTCTGGGGGATCATTATAACACATGGCACTACCTGTCATGAGTTACAATAGTAAACGAGCTACCTGCTTTGTTTTTCTCTCCATTACCCATCTCTCCTCTCTCAGCAGTGTTCCCTCTTTATCCTCCTCCACTTCCCTACCCTTTGTATTCTAATAACTGCTTTTAATTTAGCAGCTGTGCTTCCTGCAGTCCCTTCACAGGATTAAAGTAAGCCTTCTACTTAAGAAAGCTTATGTTATACACCTCTGATTTAGTTAATATATGAAGGTGCAAATCTACCTTGCCTTCTGCCTGGTTAAAAAGAACAAACATACAACTTTTCAGCTACTGATACAAAATTCATACCTCTCTTTTCCTGTGCCCAGGTTATTCTTCCACTCTTTCCCCAAGTTCTATGAATTAAACCAGCACAGTGAAATATGTTTGTCAACATGAGAGTACAGACTTAACTAAGCACTATATCCTACAGTAAGTGAGCAATGTTATCAATTAAATTCAGGTTGGGTCTAAGCAAGTATAAAATATAACTTACTCAGCAGTGTAGGGTTTTATATCAGAACTGAATTTATGCCAAAAAGCTTAATGTTATTTTGTGCAAAGAAAGCAGTGTCAAAAGTTGATAAAAAGCTTGTTAATCTATTTTACATTCATCAGATAAAGCTTGCTGAATCCTTGCAGAGAAGCTTGCTTCAGTTTCCAGGCTAGTAATTCTTATAATTAAATTTAGCACTTCTTACTTTCAAGTGCTATAATACCTTGTGGGGAAGCCTAACAAGTATCTTCATTTTACTGGGGAAGGACATGGAAGAAAGACCCCACAATTTGCTTCAGACCACAATGAAAGCTCCTGGCTTCCACTATTATGCTTATACCACAAACCTCTCAAAGATTAAGATTACTGTGAGTCTTAGAATTTTTTGTGGGTTAAGTACGTGCCAATAGCCCTACTTACGTTAAAACGAGCACAGACCTATGCTAAGGAAATGCATAAAAGGAAAAGTCTACTACTGTTTTAATTTAACATTTTAAGAGAAAAATCAAACAGGCTAAAGGGCTTGGAAAAAAAAGACACAAACTTACTTGATCAACAATAGATAGATGCCTTGCTTCTTCTAATTTATTGTGCAAAATGGGATTTGGATGTATAGCTTCAGGAGACAAATATGGCCTGTATCCAGACAGCATATAAGAAAGGCAAATACCCGAAGGTCCATTCCCTATTTAAAAAAAAATAAGTTGTTAATATTTTAACAAAAATGTCACGAATCATATTACAGAAACTAATGTTTGTAAATTATATAATCATTTTGCTATTTCTTTTGTAGCACCACAATAACGTGCAAGGCATACAAGGTCCTTGTTCAAGAAAAGCTTACTACAAGTAGAAAAGTTTACTTCAAAGTTCTATTACAAAGGGCCTTTTCAAAAATATCTCAGCATAATATTTTTGAGTGGCACAGAAAAATAGCTCATTGAAAAGAGAAAGAAGTACAGTTACATTTTTAAAGATATTTACATCAGTTACCAACCAAGTCTCTCTTGCATAAACTATTCATCAAAAATATTCAACAAACCTATGAAAAACTGTCAGATATCTGACTTCAGGTTAATTCTTAGAAAAACTTTTAGAAAAAAATTCACAACTGAAATCTCACAGTCAACGTAAAAATGACATGTGACCGGCAGCCTGAGTTCACCTATTTTTCCTTCCTTGTATAGTTAGCAGATTATTTGCTCTCTCAATGCCGGGACCTCGCTGTACTAGGCACTATGAAAGTGCAGAGCAATTGGTCCCTGATGCAAAGGGCTCAGAATGCAAGTGTAAGACCATGAATGACAGATGGATACAAACAGATGGGGGAAATAAATGGAAGCAAAATGAGTACTAAGCTCAGCACATCAGCATAAATATTTAGCTATGGCCAATATGTATGTTAGGTAATGGGGTAGCCAGGGCTTAGTTTGAAAACTAATAAAAGCAGCAAAAAAATGTCAATTTTAACATCTTCCTGAATCCCTTTTCCAATAGTTTATAGAATGATATTGTACCCTATCAATACCATAACTTTAATATAAATCAGAACAGGTTAAAAATAGCTGTTTTCAAATGGATTACTACATGGTAGAAGTGGTAATATAGATGGGAACTTGTATCCATCATGAGATTTAGTATCAGATACAGATATTTATTGTAATTTTCAGTCGTATTAAGCAATGAGATTTTGACATGATTAACATTTAAAAAACACCATAACAGGTGCATACATACCAAAATCAGATAAAAAGAATATTAAAAGGTACAAAACTAAGCCTTAAGGCAGGAAAAGCCTGGGGAACCTTGTGTGCAGTTCAAGCACACGATAGCATATATGACTTTTCTCCCACCATACCACCGCCCTCAGCATTTGCACAGAATATGCAGCATTCACCTAACAAATATCTTCCAATATTTTTTTATTCTCATTCTTGAAGGTGCACGGTCTGTGCAATATTTACTGCACATTTTTCAAACCCTGCTCTGAACACAGAATTACTACACGTCTTCATGGGCTTAACTATGGCACTTATCCTTTATATGGACCTGTAAAAAAGGTTGAATGAACCACTCTTTGAAAGCAAATTTATTATTAAAAGGAGAGATCCATGAATCTTTCAGTTCTGGAAAGGAGTCTCCTCTAGTAGACAGACTTATTTTTGTCTGCTCCCTCCCAAACATGAGGTTTTTATCCCTTGTCATGTTCTACCTGTCCCTGTCTCAGTCCTGTCTCCTCTCTAACATCGACTTTTTACTAAAAAACTTTATTCTCATCCCTTGGCAAGTCCAAGTCTCCCTGCCAAAAAAAATCCTAATCTCATTTTCTGAGTCTCCTTTTGCTACTTGATTTCAGGCTCTACCTCACTACACAAAACTACTGATTCATTATTCAACCAACTGTAGTTCTCTTGAGGACCACAACTCCTGATGGACCTGTTTCCCCTCCTCCCCTACACATTACTACTTAGTCTCAGTTCTCTTGTCCAATTGTGTCCATAACCAGCTCTTCACTTCCCCCAAACCCTTGTCACACGTCCTAGTTCAAGCTTTGTTTCAATTCAGTCTCAGCCTGCCCCTTTGTCTTTGCCAGTGACTTTTCCTTTTTCCTGTCCAGCTTGTCTTTCCTTGTCCCAACCTACTCTTAAACTTCACTCTTAGAAACAACCAAACTATTATGGCTGAAATTAAAAACAAAATAGCCTGAAGCAGATGCCAGCATATAAGGTTGGCATGGCTATAGTAAAAAGAAAAGCGAGAGGGACTTCTATTGTAAGTGACAGTGTATATAACCTTCCTGATTAAATACCAGGAAGTCAACTGGTGGGAAACATTTCTGCACTACAAAATTCTGCACTACAAAAGTCCCCCCATAATCATTCCCAGGGAAAAAGAAAAAAAAAAAATAGATCTCATGCACAATGCAACTGTAATAAAACTCATCCCTTGATTTTATTAACCATGTAGTATAGAAGGAGTCATATATAAAATTTTCCTCCAAATTTAAATATTTTAAATTGGTAAGAACTGCATTTTCAAATGTACATGCTATCCCCAGAGTACTGGAATCCCAATTGGAACACCTGGGTAATAGTGTCATAATTATACTCCCAGTATCCATATTATTTATTATTGACTGTACTTGAACAGCTTCTTATCCAAATGATGTAAACATTTTCCCCGTTTCTTAAGTTATAACTGTAGCTGAACAAAGATCCACTTGTACAATCTTTGATTTAAAACATCCACACTATGAATTAATATACTGCAATGCAAATACCTAAGTTTGTTGACCAATTAATGTAAAAATTAAAACAAAAGGCTTGTCATTCGGATGAAAACTGAAGAATGCTTTTTGTTTATAAGGCAATGAACAGTAGCCTGGGGAAAATAGTAATGCTTTTTTTGTTCAGCTCAGAAAACTCTCTAGACTTAGGGCTCCAACTTGAAATTTAGCATTTGCTGAAACTTTGATGTTTTATAAAATTCAGTTGTTCCGCTGTCTCCCAATCTCTTAAAAACCTGGAATATGAGGGAACAGATTTGCTAACCAAATGACAGATTGCCTCTATTGCCCTAATCCAAAAGAGCAAGATTACCTATCTCAATTCCTTGTAATAGGTTTAGGATAAATTCCATTCTAGAATAAGATGTTCCTGGGTGTTCCAATTTGTTCTATTTATTACAGTCTTAGGGCACTTATACACGTGCCTGACCCTTGCTCTGACGTGTTCTAATGCCCTCACCATCATTTTGAAGCATGGGACTGAATACACAAGACACTGAGGGTATTTTAATTATTAAAATGCCACCCTTCACTCCAGAGCACATGTAAAAGTTGCCCTTAGATGTCATCTGTTATGCATCTGTAGTAACATCCAGTATTAGTTAATGAAAGTAGGAGCTAAATTTCCTTTTGAAAATAGGATTTTCAAGTTTATGATGACTACGTAGTATATTTTAGAGAATTCTATAAAAGTGGAAAATTCTTCTAATAGAAAGGGCATTTTTAGATGAAAACTTAATTCATAAGATCAAATAATTTATTACAGGCTTCCCCTCCCCCATTTCAGTCTAAGGGAAGCTGGGTGACAGTGACCACGAGCTGATCACCTTCACCATCTGCAGTAAAGCTGGGAAGTCAGTAAGCAATACAGAAGTCCTTGACTTCAGGAAAGCTGATTTCGATAAGCTAAGGAGGCTTGTCAGTGAGGCCCTAAAGGGCCACAAGCCAAAAGAGATGGGATTTCAGGATGAGTGGTTGTCCTCAAGGGAGCAACCCTGGATGCGCAAGCAAAGTCTATCCCGGCTCGAAGGAAAGGCAGCAAAACAGCACAGCAGCCCTCTTGGCTCTAGGGAATTAGCGGACCTCCTGCATCTAAAAAGACAGACCTACAAAAGATGGAAGGCTGGATCCACCTCCAATGCCCAGGAAAAAGCAAACTTGCTAAATGGGTACTTTGTGTCAGTTTTTCACCAATCCCATGGGATGCCCTTGCCCATTACGGGACAAGGAGGCCCGGGTGAGGGAGATTCCTTATCCTCCATCAATGATGACCTCGTGAAGGAACACCTTGAGAGGCTGGACACCTTCAAGTCAGCCAGCCCTGACAGCTTACACCCCAAGGTACTCAAGGAGCTGGCTAGCATCATTGCTCAGCCCCTGGCATGGATCTTCAAGAACTCTTGGCATCCTGGTGAAGTGCCCAATGATTGGAAGAAGGCCAATGTGGTGCCTATCTTCAAGAAAAGGAGGAAAGTGGATCTAGCAAACTACAGAGGCCCATCAGCCTGACCTTTATCCTGGGGAAGGTCTTAGAAAAGATTATCAAGGAGGCCATTCTTAACAGACTGGCTGACGGCAACATCCTGAGGGAAAGCCAGCACCCGTTTGTTATGGCTAGGTCTTGCTTGACCAATCTCATTTCCTTTTACAACCCAGTGACCTATCACCTGGCCAAGAAGAAGAGATTGATGTCATATATCTTGATTTTAAAAAAGCTTTCGATCTGGTATTCCATGATCACCTCTTGGCAAAACTAGCTAACTGCGGCCTCGGCCACACCATGATCCTTTGGCTGAGGAACTGGCTCCATGGTAGGACCCAACAGAGGGTGGTGGTTGATGGAAGTCAATTGTCGTTGTGTGCTGTAAACAGTGGGGTCCCTCAAGGGCCTATACTATTTAACATTTTCGTTAGTGATGTAGACATTGGTGTCAGAAGCAGACTAGCCAAGTTCGCTGATGATACCAAACTCTGGGGTAAAGCATCCACACCTGAGGACAGGAGGGTGATCGAGGCAGACCTTGACAGGCTCAAGAAATGGGCGGATGAGAACCTGAGAGTGTTTAACACCGAAAAATGCAAGGTTCTTGTAATGGGTCGCCCCTCCCAGCACCACCTTCCTAGTACTCCACACCTTGCGTGGGCACCCTTGGATCCTTCTTTGGGGTTCTTATGTCCCGCCCTATATTTTCCTGCCATGTCTCAATGGAAATTAGGATGATGTTCTTGCAAGCAGGAGGCTGCCAATTGGATTGGATACGTTGGGACCTGACCCCTGATTTTCTCTAGCTAGGCCTCCCCATCTAAACC